TCTTTGGGAGGTGGGTAATGTTAGACCGGTTCATATTGGACCGGTCCAGCCGGCCCCTTTCCAAGGGATGACTCAGGTTTATAGAAGGCGAGCAGCAAGAGAGAGAGAGAGGTGGGGTCCACTAGGGATTTAAATTCAAACTTTTTGGAGCCAAAGGAGGGGGCTACAAGGGCTGATATGTCATTTGGGCTTAAATGATTAATTGCATGGTTTAAGTAAGGAGGAGGAATTAGGGTTAGGATTATTCTTTGATTTGTGACTGATTTGGAGTCTATTGTTCTTAGTGTTTGGGCTCTAGCTTTGTCTAGAGATTGGGAGAGAATGATCCTCCTCTCGAATTGAGGATCACTTGTATCTTGTTTGTTTTTCTTTCGTTAGTTGATTTTTCTCAATAAAGTGGGTTGTTTTTCTCTGATTTTCTCTCTACTTGTTGAGTATTCTCATTGTTTTTGCTTCTCCTGTTAGGGTTTACTTGAGATCTTCAAGTATACTCTAACAATTTCCAATATCAAATTATCACAATCAAGATCTAACATCAAAACACAAGATCAAACCTTTACAACAGTTTCAAGTATTGAAACTCTCTTCGGAAATGAACGGTTTGACATCTTGTCCAAATTCTTAAAATCTCCAACATTCAGCCAAGTATCTCCTTCATTATATCATCATCATATGGAGCATCTGGTGCTGTTATTCTTGTTATTTCACTAAGATAGGATGCAATGGAAACCTTCACATCCATGTCTGAATGCCCTAGAAGATCCTTTGCAATCAATGCCTTCATAGTTGGCTGAACAACAATTAACATTGAAGTAGTGGAGATTATTCCATTCTTGACGTTAAATTTTTAGCTTTATCAAGTAGCAGAAGTTGTTGTAAATCGGGTGGAGGAGACACCATCCTCCAGCATTAAATCATTAGGCGACATTTGCACAGAGGTGCACGAGAGAGGCCGCAGGCACAAAAATAAGGGCTTTAAGCTCTCGGTCCCTTGTAGGCACGCACAAGAAAAACTCTTGCATGACTCCTCCGGTGCTCGGTTTTGGTTCAACGTAGGTAAGAACGTATGCATAGAGACTCGACCTCCTTTGCATGTACGAGGGTTCATGCTTGCTCCTCTTCGCTCGACTTCTAGGAAGAGATGCTCGAAGTAGATGACCAAGTGGAACGTCGCTCCTCTCTCTATCGCTTGCAGAGATGAAGACTGAGCATGATGCCGCCATTCCTAGGAGGAGGTCCTAGTTGTTGTCCAGATGAATGCATGAGGAGGCCTCGCGCTTGACTTCTATCGCTTTTGCTCAGTTGATTCTGGATGTTACATGCAAGAACAAAGATCGAGCCCGATATTGTTGTTCTTAAGAGGTCCTGGTTGTTCCAGACGCACGATTTCTAGTCCCATGCTATCACATGTATGCAAGAGGAAGATTTCGCTCGGCTCGCCCCAGACACATGAAAGAGGAGCCCTCTTGCTTGATCTCTTCTCGGTCTTGGATGAACGAGAGACAACCGTCTCTGCTTCTTCTGGTTGCAGGCACAAAATAGAGGGCACAAGCAGTTTGGACCACTCGACTCTTGTTCGATCTCTAATGACAATGAAGACCGCTTGCTCCTCTCCGCTTCCTTCGATTTTTATATCCCAACTATTTCAATAATGAAGGCCGGTGGAAGGATTATCATTCCTCAAAATTTCGACAAGGAAGGCCAGTGGTGGGAACCTGACTCTGATACCATGTTAAATTTAGAGAATTGGAGAGGGAAAAAGCTTAATTTTATTGTGATCTAGGTGAGCCTCCCACAGATATCCATATCGGCCATGGGATCAAGGGGCAAGGGAAGGCTAGGATTTAACAAGAACTCTACCTCGCGTGAAGCAATCGAAGTCGAGCAAAAATGAAGGAACAACAATGCGTCCAATCAGTATAAGAAGCTCATGTCACATACAATCTCTACCTCTCGTGAACCAGGCAAAGTCGAGCAGCGATGAAGCGCGTGAGAGGCAAGAAAGATGGCTACGCTTTCAAGAAGCAAGCTCTTGTCGTCACTTTCAATCCAATAGGAAGAACATCATTGAATTGTCATGACTTCTGATCCGACTGTAAGTGATCGTCATCGACGAAGGCGAAGAAGCTCTGATTTCAATCTCCCTCTTCAATTTCTTTAAGAAACAAAAAGTTCTCTTTTCTCTTTCAAACTTTTGCTCTCATTAATCCTCTTATACTTAAAGATTGAAAATTGATAAAACAATAAAACAAACAATTTCAAAGTGAAGGATGAAAATCAAGAATGAGATCTCACTCATGTTGTCCATCACCATTTGATGTGATACAAACAGGAATTGCATGGAATTGATAAAATATGATAAAGCTTACCACTTTAAGGTTAATGTATCACAAAAATTAACTTTAAGGATTTTCAATTGAAGTTTGATATGACATGCAATTACAAGCTAGGAGAACAAAACAATTAAATAATATCAAAATTACAATAAAACTAGTTATGCATAATAAGAATCCACGGGTTAATATTTAGAACATTCACCTAGAGTTTCCTATCACTCACGCTCTAAGAAAGGCTTTAGCGAAGAGATAATTTCAGCAATTCAAGTGACGCCACCAAAAGAGATAGGACACCAATGGTCTTGATCCACGGGAAGGTAGCCAGAGAAGGTGACATGGGTGGATGCCCGATGAGTTGCCACTGTCTAGAGGGTCGTTGTTCGTTGATAGTCTCAGCTAGGTGGAATAGTATACGGTCAACGTAGTCGTAGACGGAGTCTTCTATCTCCCAATCGGGGTCGAAGATTGACGATTGAAGAATATCTATTTGCCCTTGAGAATCGTAAGCGAAGCCGTGGTCTACTTCAAGATCGGCCATCCATGGATAAAGGAGCTTCCTCTCTTGGGGATCCTTGAGGGCTGACAACTTGTGAAGGATGAAGGGGGGTGGGGGTGGGGGTGGTTTGAGAGGATTCAGGGAGGGGATGGTTAGGGTTAAGAGGATTTTTGGACTTTGGGCTAGGGAGGTGGAAGGAAATAAGTTAGAAAATCTGAATTGAATTTCAGCTTTTCAAAAGGGATGGAAGGGAATAATTTGAACTCAAAATTATCTCAAAAGAGGGCTAGAGGGGCCGACGGCTTAGGAGGGATTTATGGGGATTTTAATTGGGGTTAAGGATTAAATTGTAGAGAGAAAAGGCAAAGGGGGAGGGCCGGCCATATGAGGAGAGAGGGAGGGTGTCTAGGTTCGATGTTTGTGGGCCCTTGACTTTAATTGGTTATTGAAATCAAATCTTAGATTTAATTAAGGAGATTTTCTAAATTAGATTTATCAATGAGGAAAGAGTTTGAAATTCAAATAAGAAACTTTCCTAATCAATAATAGGCTATTTTAGGAAGGTGATTAAGAGGAAAATTGAATTTGAAGTCAGGCTTTGTGGGGACTACTTGGCCGGCGGCTAGGATGGCCTTGGGAGGCGGGCGGCTATGGCTTGGTTGGGACGGCGGTAAGGAGGAGGCCGGCGGTAGGTGGGTGGGGAAGGGGCCGATTGTGGAAGGTTGGGGAAAGGGGAGGGGAAAAAGGGCAAGGTTGGCATTTTGGGTATATTATGAAGGGCTGCCGGCGGTGCTGCCGGCGGTGGAAGTAGGGAAAGAAGGTAGAGGTAAGCCGCGAGCCTTGGACTCTTCCGAAGACTGACAGATATTACAATCACCCTCACCAAGGGCTCTCTTTCTTCTCTCAAAGCTCACAACATTGAAGAATATATAAAATGAACAACACATAAAATGTATAAAAAATAAAGGCTCTTGATCGTGGTCGTCGATCTCCAATGCCTCCTCTGATACACGCCAAAATCTCCTGTTGATGTCCTCATTACCATTCCTCCAAACCTCATATTCATGCTTGAAATATGCCCCTAAATCACACATTATGATTATGCTCTAAAGCACACAAGTCCTCCTGGCTACTCGTGCCTTTGAGCCACTTGGTTTAGTTGATATAGCATAAAGCCCATTGTCAGCTCAGATCAGCCTTGAAATTGGGCCCCTTGGAATTTTTTTTCAATCTTAGTTTTTGATTTCTTTGTATGAGGGAGCTCGTTGGCCCAATATCAACTTTGAAATTGTGCCTCTTTGAATATTTTTCAACCATAATTTGATTTTTTTTATGAGAGAACTTGTTGTTCATAACAAATCCTCAAATCGGAAAAGAAAAGTTCTAGAATCATGTTAAAAAGTCAATATTCATCATAATCCTTCTCACCCTTAGACTCGGGTTAGTGATGGTGTCTTAAACTCAGTTAATTGTGACAACCAAGTTTAAATGAGGTTTTTAAAATAGTCAAGGTCTATTTGTGGTCAGTCGATAAACTTGGTAAGTGATGGAACTTCAAATCACTATAATGCATTTGATGAAATAAAAATCTCGAAGGGCAAAGTGAACTATATAATTAACCCAAACATCACAACTAGTTTCCTGCCAGTCGAAGCACAGATGCACAAAAAACTTATGCTTCTCAACTCCTGAGAAGAAATGTAATCACTTGATTATTGCATCTAAGGCATTTAAGTAAATAGAGAATCTCTTGGATACATTTTTCATGGAAAATACGCTACTTCCTTAATTAGTACTCCAATAAGCTCCAAAGTGAGAGATAGGAAGCATAAAGTGCTACTGAATCTGCAAACTGATTGTTTGTGGTTGCTTCCTTTTGAAGGCGTGACATTAGTCTTTTTTTATATGCCATTTTATGAACGATCTAGTTGGGTGTAAAAACATATTGCTTTCACTTTTGTCACTTTTTATGTGCCATTTTTTGAACTTTATCTAGTTGGGTGTAAAAACATATTGCTTTCACTTTTTTCATGCATTTTCTTCAGTTTGTAGGATTAACTTTATTTTGCAGTTTCAGGTAATGATATGAAATTTACATTATTTTACCTTGATCAGCAAATTATGTTGATTTGCCACCTGTTATTTGTCTGATTTGTTCAAATGTGCAGCGTGTACTCTATGTAGACATTGATGTCCACCATGGTGATGGTGTTGAAGAGGCTTTCTATACAACTGATAGGGTCATGACTGTCTCTTTCCATAAATTTGGGGACTTCTTTCCAGGAACTGGTCATATTAAAGATGTTGGTTTTGGCACTGGAAAATATTATGCTTTAAATGTTCCACTGAATGATGGAATTGATGATGAAAGTTTCCAGGGATTATTTAGACCTCTGATTTCGAAGGTCATGGAAATCTATCAACCAGATGCTGTAGTTCTCCAGTGTGGTGCGGATTCGTTGGCCGGGGACCGGTTAGGTTGCTTCAATTTGTCTGTGAGGGGGCATGCGGATTGCTTAAGGTTTCTTAGATCTTTTAATGTACCTCTTATGGTTTTGGGTGGTGGTGGCTATACAATGCGAAATGTTGCTCGTTGCTGGTGCTATGAGGTTGATTGGCTGTTCTATACACTTATTTTGTATCATATTGTTCAATTTTCTTGGTGGTTAATGCACTTTATATTTCTTTCAATATGTATTTCAACTTGGTGGTACAGACGGCAGTTGCAGTTGGAGTTGAGCCAGATAATAAGTTGCCTTATAGTGAATATTATGAGTACTTTGGCCCTGATTATACCCTTCACATTGAACCGAAAAATATGGAAAATAAGAACTCCCTGAGTGATCTGGAAAAAATCAGGTATGGTTCATCCACGGCATTTTAACTCAAAAAGTTGCTATTTTTTCAGTTACTCTAATGAGCTTGATGTGCTTCATCCTTCTGATTTCTTTCAGATTTGAATAAATTAATATAGTTATATAGAAGAGTGGTGTTTGTTGTGATCAAGCATCAGTTGTGTGAGCCTCTTATACATGAATTTTGCAATTTAAAAAACTTGTACATAAATTTATTCTGCATACCGAAAAGTTAAATTACCAAGACATTGTGCCCAAAAAATATATATATTTTTTAGAGCTCAGAATACTATACTTCCAAGAAACAAATTTCTATGTGTGGATGATGTGACTCTACTTGTAATAGTGTAGTAGTAATTGGGGGTTAATTATAGGCTAATTAGCCTAAGATAGTCATTATAAGTTTATAAATATCTCAATTGGGGAGTATGAGAGTATGATGAAAATAATGAAATCCACCTTCTTTTATCTTGTTTTTCCTCTTTTTCTTTTGGGAATGATAAAGCAACACGAAATGCTCAAAATAGGAACTGGGATTCCTATTTCTGGTGCTCTTGTTGGGAGAGGAACCCAATTCCTATACAGAGTATTTCGAGTTGCCCTTACACTCCTAAGAGAATAAAAAACAAAACAAGATACAAGAAGGAATAATTTCACTATTTTCATCATGGTTCCTACTGCCCAATTGAGGTTATTTATAAACTTGTAAGACTAACTGAACAACTAACCATCCTTCTTAACACTAATTATAAGGATGATTAAAAATTACTCTTGCAAATTAATCATATTTATCTAATTTAATGATAATTAGGATCACATCAGTGGATGAATGATTTCATTCTTCAAACAACATTAGGCACACAAAGTTGTTCTTTTGAATGATGTCCGTTAATCTACATTCATTGCACACAGTCCTGCCCAAAATTACCAACAAGCTGGCACACAGACTCTGATGAATTCTTTCCTACAAAACGATTCTTTTGAATGATGTTCGTTAGTCTACATTGGTGAAGTAGGTGTTCGATTCAAGTGATTTGGGCTTAGCTCACCATTATTAAAAACTAGCCATTCCTTCATAAGGATGAATCATGTCAGAACTTTGAGAGACAAAGTTGTTAATGCATGTTTCTTCTAGTTTTTTTTTTATTGTTTTCATATCATTGATTTGATGTTTGCATGATTCCTTTGACTTGGTAAAGGATTGTCTTTTGGTATTTGCACGACTCCTTAGACCTTGAAAATGATTCAATGATCCTCGTGAATGTTGGTTGTTCGAATGGATTATCAGATCTAACTTAACTCTATGGAAGCCCTATTTAGACTTAGGATTTTCAATGGGACTTTGATTAATTCTAAAAAGATGCATGCTTGGATAGGAGCTATATGGAATGAGTTTCAATCAACTAGTGCCCAATGAATGGTGTAGTAAGCTTTATCAAATATATATTTTTCTCATTTCAAGTGTACCAAGACATGTAAGATATTTTGATGGTTCAACTTTCCAACTTCCATTACCAATTATCCATATTAGATTTTTTTTTTCAAATTATTCACATGTGGAGAGAGAGCATATTATTTCCTTCTTGTTGTTTTTGTTGTGGGCTCCAAGTGAAACGATGGTGAATTTTTTTTAGGATCTGAAGTTGTCCTTTCTACATGTCATATTGTTTTAGTTAGGAAAAAATGGCTTTTTGAGAAATAGGTGTCTAAATAGAGGCACTTGAATCAAGATGCAAATATGTTCCTAAATAACATATGATAATTTTCATATAAGTTATATGAAAAGTAATTATGCTATGCTAAGTATTATTTATGGGCAATTTCTTTTGTAGCACTCAAAATTTGGTTGTTTATAAAACTTGTATTCAACTACTAGCATTTACAACACGAGCACTCAAATTAGGGGTGTCAATATTTGACATGACCCGAAAATCCGACTCGAACTCGACTCAAAAATTTTGGGTTAGGGTCAACCCGGACCTGAAATGGGTTGTGTTCGGGTTCAACAATTCGACCCATTTTAAAAATCAGGTCAGGTTTGGGTTAACCCTTTGACCCGAAATTGACCCGTTTTTGACCCGGAAACCCCAGATTGACCCTTTTTCGACCTATTTTTGGCCTGAAAAGAGGAGTTTGACCCGTTTTTTGACCTGAAAACTAGCAATTTTTTCATGGTCCCGGATCATTCGGGTCGTGTTGGGTTGACCCGGCTCGAAGCCGGTCGGGTTCAGGTCCGAAAAACTGACCCGTTTGCAAAAACGGGTCGGGTTCGGGTTGACCTGAATAGTGTCGGGTCAATTTCGGGTTCGACCCGAATCCGACCTGTGACCCGAAATTGACACCACTAACTCAAATCATAAACAATGGAATAAGATCCTAACCCAAACTTTTTTGTTTTCATTAAATTTTCAATGAGAAAGATATATTAATAGTTAATTTTTTAAACATTTTTTAAAAAATATTGAGAATTGCTTATCTAGATTTTGTTTGATCAATTTCTGAGGAAAAGGTGGTGGTGGCCTCCCTTCAAATCTCCTAATTACTCGTTCAGGTTCTTTTATAAGTTCAGGTTATTTTGTTGAAGATTTTTTTTTTTGCTCAACTTCACTATCATCCTTTTTATGAAAATCTTTATATTTGTAAGGATCTCATTAATCTTTCCCACTTCTAAGTTGGATATTATGATTTTGTTCTTCCATTTCTTTATAATTAATCAACCTATCGAGTTGCCCTATTTGATCTTCAATTTTTTTTTAAGAGCATAATTTTGATAATTAATTTTCTTTCTTTGGATATTAGTTTTGTAGATAACTAAGTTTCAAATGACATTTGCTTAATTTTTCCTTTATTTTATTAGTGCACATGCCATTGCTTTGTTCTGCATGTGTTGGTGCCAAATCTCCATCATGTTTGTGTTTGACAAATTTTAGACATTGCATGCCCTTAAAATTCAAAGTATTTGTGCATCTTACGAGAATGTTTTGCAAAGTGAGACTTGTAATCTATATACAGATCTATTAACAGATAATAAGAACAGGTAGAGAGAGATGCAAAAGTGATAGCAGTGTTTTATTTTAGCTTTTAAATCTCCTTAGTAGTTAGGTCTGTTATTTTTTCTTAATTTGTGTTTGTTTCATGTCTTTATTGTCCTTTTTTCTTTATAAAATAGTGTAGTAATTTGTTATTTCTTGTGTCTTGTGGTTTTGTATAAATACCTCATGTTATTTGGGAGAGAAGAGATTTTTTAGAAAATAATTCAGTTTACTCTCAAAAAAAAAAAGGGTAGGAAATTTTGTCATTGGGGTGTATTTCCCCTAAAATTAGAGAGTAGAGGAAGAAAGCGGTTATAGCGGGGTCTAGGATTCCACCATCGTCAACAACCAAATCATGTATCACCTGTCGGCGGTGTCTAGCCTTCTTGCAGGGCAAAACAGCTGCTGTACCTTGCCACTGAGATCCATTTCAGCCTAGTTCTCCATCAAGACCCTTCCAGGAGTGAGTTTCCAGTAGTCTTGTGGGCAAGGCTGGAACTGTACCTTGCCACCGAGAGGGTTGTTTCCAGCTCAGTCCACCATGAAACCTTCTAAGAGTGGCCATCCATCAATCTTAAATGGCAAGATAGTGGTTCTGACTCATTGGCGAGGGGTGTTTCGGCCCAGTCCATTGTGAAATCCTTCTGGGCGTGGCTATCCAGCAATCTTACCTTGAAAAACCCTTGCTGACCTTGCCATCAACAGCTATTTTTAGTCCATCCTACCTTAAGACATTGTCCATGAAAGTTTCTGCAGAATTTCATTGGGTTGAGAGCAGCAAGGTGACAACAAGAATCGAAGAAATCCAAAGACATAGGTTGTTGGAGTAAGGAGTTATTTGAAGTGCAAGAAGCATTTATCAGGTCACTGTAGGTTTTTCCATCTAATCCTCCACCTCTCTCTATCCATGATTTTGGATACAAGAAGGATCGTGGTAGGTTAAAGATATTGGATCAACCACCTAAAGGTGGGCTACCGATATAGAAGTGCCGGAGGGCCTTGGGAAAACTCCAGTGAGGCTGATTTTACCTAATTCGTGGAAGGGCAGCAGATTGTTGGTCTAATTTTGGTGATTGTAAAGTTTGCTAGCTTTGTGTAATCTTGTTCTTTTTTTTTTTAAATTTCCCTACTTGGATTGATAGTCAACAATTTTGTTCTATGTTATAAGGTGTCTAGCCCTTCTTTATTTCTATTCAACCGGTGTTAAATTTTGATATCAGAGCCCTAAGTTAAGATGCCTCCTAGGAGAAACCAATATCGCCAAAGCTAAGAATTAGTTATGAAAGATTTGCACAATCTTGGTTAGCAGCTTATGGAAAGGAGTGATCGGGAATCTCGTTCGCTTCATTTAAATGACCACCATGTACAGTGCGAAATTGAAAACCCTTTCTATCGAGCATTTCAAAAATCATCTGTAGAAGAGTACCAGTGGAGGGATACAAGGCGACCCATACAAACTGGGAGGGAGTTTAAGGACTGCTTATTGGAACATTTCTAAACCAGCAGGGGAGAGGACTTCTATGAGCAATTCTTCGCCCTGACCTAGGAGGGGACATTGGTGAAGTACTTTGAGCAGTTTGAGCACCTCGCCAGCTGACTGGTCTGACTTCCGGAGACTATACTAGAGGGAAATTTTATGAAAGGGCTCAGGCCAAAGATTCGGGCGGTAGTTAGGGTGATGAGGCCCCATGATTTGGGAGAGGCTATGAAGCAAGCCCAGTTAGCAAAGGATCAGAGGCATCTAGAGAGAGGAGCTGGAGGCAGCAACTCAGGAGGTTTGCAAAGGATGAACACCACCTTTTTAGCATCCAAGGAGCTGACACTGGGTATTTTTAAGGAGACCTGAGGAAAACTTCAAGAAGCTCACAAAAGCTGAGTTGCAAGAAAAGATGGCAAAGGGGCTATGTTTTAGATGTAAGAAGAGGTATACAACAAGGCACAGGTGTAAGGACCGAATTCTTCAGGTGCTTACGGACAAGGTGGGTTTTTGGAAGGGGAGTATTGATGGACTTGCCAATTTGATTGGGAGGGATTTAGGAAGTTTTGTAATTAAGAGGGAGTTGTTTAGGAATGTTCTTAATCAAAGTGGAATTATTTTGGAAAATTTTAATTATGATTGGGAGAGAATTATTTAGGGCAAGAGATCTAATTTGAATTCAAATATGGTAAATAATTATTTAAGGAGAGGGGGTTGATTTGGAAGGGAATTAGGGGAGCCTATTTAAGGCTAACAATAGGGTGATTTTAGGATTTTGTTTTGAGGTTGAAATTAGAATTTCTTAAGTTGTGAGGGCTTTAGCTGCCGGCTAGGGATTTTGGAGAGCTAGATCTTCCTCTATAATTGAAGATCCAATTGTATCTTGCTATTTTCTTTCATGTATCTTGCAATAAAAAAAATTTTGGTGTATTCTTCTTCCTAATTTTTTTTTGCTGTTCGTTGATTTTGAAGAAATTGTATCCACTTTCTATCAAATTCTCATGTAAAAGTTGGTGTAAATTTAATCAATTACCTCAGAGAAACAAAAGGTTCAAGGAAAGAAAATGTCTTATTGTTGTAAGGGGGTTTCAATATTTGTTTTCGAGTTGCTGAAATAAAAAAAATAAAAGAAATCACCGAGGGTGGCTTGTTTGACTTCTAGATGTGCCATGACCTAACCTCACTCCACCCCCTTGAGAATTTGAAGGGTTACAAACTTCATCACTGTTGTCTATACTTGGTAATTATGCACCATGCACATGTCCATAGGAAATTGTGTTAGTAACAAATTCTTTCAATAACCTGTTCTTGACTTTTTATTTTTTATTTTTTATTTTTTAACCTGTTCTTGACTTGCTTATGCAGAAATGTGCTATTGGAGCACCTTTCAAGGCTACAACATTCTCCTAGTGTTCCATTCCAGGATAGACCACCAAAGACAGAGTCTCCTGAAGAGGTAATTTCTAATAATATTGAAGTTAAAACAATTAGTTTATCAGCATTAGGCATTTTATAATGAACTAAAAATGTAAATTGATGCAGGAAGAGGTGGATATGGATCAGAGGCCAACATGCAAACTTTGGGATGGCGAGAGTTATGACTCTGAGCCCGAGGATCTGGCTCCACACTATGGTGATATTGTGGAAAGTCATTCTACACCAAGTCATGACAAGTAGGTGGAGTATTTATTTCTTGATCTATGACATCAATACTGTCAAAAGTATTAGGTAATCTTAGAGAAATTTATTCCAATGCCCTTTATACTTGAGACTAACCTATGCACTTTTTCAATTAAAGTAGGCCATTAAAAAATAAATAATTATACCAATTCATGAAATAATTTTATGCGGGATAATTTTAAAGGGCATAAATGACAATCATCACATTAAAATATAGTGGGTGAAAAAACAAATATCAAGTGCCGTTCATTCCAACTTCGATTATCTTATTAGATTACCTTAAATAAGTATAATTTTGATTTCTAGCTTAGGATTATATAATCTTTACAACTATTTATTCCACATTCTTCATCATTCATATGCTCTCTCCATCACTATATTGTAGCCACCCATAACTTCTAGTATCTTATTGGATTCATCTTTTTTGTCCTCAATTTTTACTGCTTTGGATCTTGAAACTCTTTTTCTTATCATTCATCTAACTTAGGATTATGTATTCTTTTATCTTACAATAATTTATTCCACATTCGTCATCATCTATATGCTCTCTCCATCTCTATATTGTAGCCACCCATCTCTTTTTGTATCTTATTGGATTCATCTTTTTTGTCCTCAATTTTCTTTGTTGTTTGATGTATCATCACCCATCACTCTAAACTATCATAAAAAAATAATTCATTTATGTTGTTTGATGTATTATCACCCATCACTCTAGTTAAGATAAGATGTTCACCTATTTCTTGGGTCCTTAAGGAATGTTGCTTTCCTGTACAATGCCTTGATAACGGAGATTGTCTTGGATGTGTTTAAGGTATTATGGCCTTGCCTCGCCTTGCCTAGGTGCCCATGGGAGCTGGGTCTCATGCTTAATAGCATTAAATCATATGTAACATGCCAGTATTTGGTCTTTACTTTCTCTGTATAAACCTTCTTATCCTTATTTGGTTACTTTAACTTAAGAAATTATTTGTTGGGATAATGCTAATAAAGATGAAAAAAATACGAGATGCCATGATGGCAAAAAACGAAGTGTAGTTATTTTGTTGGGGTGGAAGGTTTCTCTTGTGATGATATTGGAGAGATGGAGAGAGAAATTGGAGAGGTTGTTTGGTTAACATAAAGGTTTATAGGACTGGCCAATCACTGGTCTATATATGATTAGATTTTTGGGTTATGGAGGGAGAACACTAGGTTTGTTGATGTAAATGCCTTGGCGGAAAGCTAAGAAGATATGATTAGGTTTGTGTTGCAAAAGAGGGTAGGCTATTTGAAGGAAGTAGAATGCTTTAAGCTTACTTACACAAGCTAAAATCAAGGGGTACTATCCTAGTGTTCTATTCTTTTTTTTTTTACTTCTCGTTGGTTTTCTAAAATGGCTGAAATCAGATTTCAGCCAAGGCTTTTCCTAAATTACTGCAAACACTTCCTATCAAATTGGTATCATAGTAGTTTCCTAGGCTGAAATAGAAGTATTCCTCGCTGATTTCGGCTGCGTTTGCTCTCGAATCTTGTTGTTTTTTGCTATTTGGAGGTCAGATTCATATCAAAGTTGTTGTTTTATGCTAGTGGAGCCTAAACCCGAGTATCTATGATAGGAAGAAAGGTAGAAGTATTGGAAGGTGAAATCAGACAATTGAAATCTAAAATTTCTGATATCCTAACTCAACTCTCAGATTTTAAAAGTCAAAATTCAGCCGTCCACGGGAAAGATTGATGAAAAAATTTTCATCTTGGTGATGCTAAAGTTGCTTGAGGGAAAACCCAAAATAGTGTTAGCTGAGGTGAGGGAAGTCACCAGCAATCAAGGAAGTGGGGAAAATCCTAATCCGATAAGGTGAAGAGAATATCAGGAGGTGAAGATTCTGGAGGGAGAAGAGAGAATATGTAAAATCTCACGATACCTCTTACCAGTAACATAGAAAGCCACATAATAACATTACATTCATTCTCAATATATGATACTTTATATCATTTTAATAGTTGCATAAAACATCCACAGACAATTACATCTAATGGATGTACGAAAGCATTTAATAATTTCAATTACACCACACAATAGTTACAGTGCCACTAAGGAAGACATAATGTTTCATCACATTTAACATCTTACATACCTTATAAGAAGACATCATAAACACTTCTAAATATAAAGCTAAAGTTTCCAACACTTGTCTAATCGGTCACCACTTTCTCTTTACATTTTCCTGTAATAACATTCAGTATAAAATAACTGGTGAGCTATGAGTCTCATAAAGTTATGTAAATTAAATAACAATTTAAATGCAATATTATAAGAAATCATAACATTGAAATCATATTTAATAAACTTACCATTATTTGCAAAACATCATAAAATCATATTTAGGATTAATCTTTAATTTTTTTAAAGTTTGTACATAATATTAATATTAGTCTTCTAAAGATTTGATTATACTTTCATGAAAATGTTCAATGGAGCCTAGGTAATCCTGACATTATCGTCATTGAACTACATATATGTTCATTTTGTCTCTTTAGGGGTCTCTTTTGCCTCACCTGCTATGTATATATCATATTTGAGGTCCCTTTTGCCCCACATACAATTGCAGGTATCATACATAGGGATCATTTTGCCCCACCTGCAATTGTAAGTTTCATATCATTTTATAGTCGATATTTACTAATTTGATATTCAATAAACTTCACATATTCATAGTCATACGTGTATTATATGGTTGCATATTTTCATCACAACATAGATGTTATACTATTTGCATGAAGAGAAAGTGTATGCCACATCTAAGGATTTGTGCTTATTTTTAAAATGTTACCAACTAGCAAAATCTTTAAATGATCCTATTACATTTTATTTTAAATCTGAATCATTCGAATTTGCATGTGGTTATTCATATATAAGTACTTGGTTGTGAACGGGCATTCATATCATCTTTCCCTTTTTATAATTATTTCCTTGAATTTCCCTTAAATGCTATTGTACAAGTCTACTTAAAATAACAATATGTATTTTTAAATTAACTTGCATTGCGTACCTCCTTAACGAACTTTCTCAACCAATTCTACACTTCGTAATCTTTTCCTATGGTAAAATATCTCAAAACCTCCTTTTTTGCATATATCTATGAATCCTAAAAAAATACAATTAATTATATTTTCTTTAAAATCTTATTAATGTTTGGACTTTTTATTAAACAACTGAATAAAACCAAAACCGCTCACTTCAATTTATTCTTTTCCTTCAATTCTCTATTATTATCTTTAACTGGAATTTCTTTACTGAAATTCCACTCTCAATTCCTACTGCAATAATCAGCCAATCTTATCAATATACTCAATGAATTCCTTGGTACACATGGTGCATTTAATCACAATTTTCAAGATTGTGAAAATCGGTCCGAACAACGAACCGGAAGAAAAAGAGGTTCACGGTTCGACCGGTCTAACCGGGGTCAAACCGGATGACATAATAAATAATAAATATTATTAAAATTTAATAAAATTAACATAATAATAATGTTATCATTCAAAGTTTGAGATAAAATATTAAACTAAAAAAAAAAACATGGAAACATAAAATTTACATAATTAAGTAAAATAATTATTTTAAAATCTCTTTGATTATATTCCGGTTCAATGCAGAGGCGGTTTTAAGACTGAACTGGACCGGTCTTGAGACCGGTTCACGGCTGAACCGGCCGGTCCTGTCCGATTTTTAAAACATTGACAATTTCACTTACCCGAACTTTCCGCTTTTTCTTAGCACTGTTTTGAACAAGGCAACAGTCAGTATCTTTTTTGTTTTCTTCACCCTTTCTCTGTTATTTCCTCTATTGAATATAACCCCACACTTAAAGAAAAACTCTCTTTAACATCAATTAAACTCCATCATACAACAAAACTAAGACCTATGTTATAATCTTTACCTGCACTATGCCGAACACTTTAAACACTATGCCGATCCTTCTCCCCTCCATCACTGTTGCCGTACTTTCCTCAGCTGCACTGCCAAACTTCCCTATACATCACTTAGCACTGTCGAATTCCTTAAGCCTGCATTGTGCCGAACTTCTCACTGCAGCATTGTTCCGAACACTTCAATGCAGCACTGTGTCGAACTTCCTTAGCTTGCACTGTGTCGTGCTTCTCTTCCTGCTTGCGTGAAATTGCCACTGGCTTGTGTGGTTTCCAAACAGAAGAAAGGAGAGCGGGGCCCACCACTATATTGATTGTCAAACTTCTCATCCAATACAAGCACCTATTCATAATTAATAATTTATCTAATAGCATTTAATTAACAATAATTTAACTGTTATAATAAGAGATAATTCAAATAAAATTATTTTCCTTTACTTGAATTTGAGGATATTACAGAATGCTTTCTCTAGAGCCTATTCCTAAGGAGGAGTTGAGTAGAGGATATGGTGAGAGGCATGAGGAGTCATGCATGAAAAAATAATTGTTGAATTTGAGAGGGGTGGAATTTGAAAGGGAAGGTGCTGATTATGATCAAAAGGGCGTTGAATTTGAAAGGAGAATGGCTGATTATAATCCAATGGGTGCTGAATTTGAAAGGAGATGGTGGGAATTTGATGAAAGGTTTGGGTATGAGCATAGAATGGATGACTGGGAGACCTCGGGGGAACCACCTCCTTGAGGAATGGGAAATTATGGAGGAAATAGGGGGAACAGAGGAGTTTCGAGGGTGAAGAAGCTGAAGATGCCTATTTTTGAGGGAGATGATGCACATGGGTGGATATGCAGGGTGAAAAGGTACTTTGTCGTCAATATTGGGAGACCTCGAGGGAACCGCCTCCTTGAGGAATGGGAAATTATGGAGGAAATAGGGGGAACAGAGGAGTTTCGAGGGTGAAGAAGCTGAAGATGCCTATTTTTGAGGGAGATGATGCACATGGGTGGATATGCAGGGTGAAAAGGCACTTTGTCGTCAATAGATTGGCGGAGGAGAGATTGATGACTGCCGGGATGTGCTTGGAGT